AGACCTAGACAAGCTGAAGGAATGGTCGAACAAATGGTTGTTAGCGTTTAACCCAACCAAATGTAATGTAATGAAGATAGGTGTAGGGAGCAGGAGGCCAGATACAAGGTATCATCTGGGAGAGGAAATTCTTCAGGAGTCAGAGAAGGAAAAAGACTTGGGGGTTGATATCACGCCAGACCTGTCTCCTGCAGCACATATCAAGCGGATAACATCAGCGGCATATGCCAGGCTGGCCAACATACGAACGGCATTCAGAAACTTGTGTAAAGAATCATTCAGAACTTTGTATACCACATATGTCAGGCCAATCCTGGAGTATGCAGCCCCAGCATGGAGTCCATATCTAGTCAAGGATAAGACTAAACTGGAAAAGGTTCAAAGGTTTGCCACCAGACTAGTACCCGAGCTGAGAGGTATGAGCTACGAGGAGAGACTACGGGAATTAAACCTCACTTCGCTGGAAGACAGAAGAGTTAGGGGGGACATGATCACCACATTCAAGATTCTGAAGGGGATTTATAGGGTAGATAAAGACAGTCTATTTAACACAAGGGGAACACGCACAAGGGGACACAGGTGGAAAATGAGTGCCCAAATGAGCCACAGAGATATTAGAAAGAACTTTTTTAGTGTCAGAGTGGTTGACAAATGGAATGCATTAGGAAGTGATGTGGTGGAGGCTGACTCCATACACAGTTTCAAGTGTAGATATGACAGAGCCCGATAGGCTCATGAATCTGTACACCTGTTGATTGACGGTTGAGAGGCGGGACCAAAGAGCCAGAGCTCAACCCCCGCAAACACAACTAGGTGAGTACAACTAGGTGAGTACACACACACACACACACACACACACACACACACACGCGCGCGCGCGACAGGAATGAGAGGAGCGGATGAAACAGGTATGCTTGATCTGATATTTACACTAAATGAGTGGGATATAAGGAAAGTTAAGTTGGAAGCCCCCTTGGGAATGAGTGATCACAGTGTACCTGGTAGAGCTAGGAATTATCTCCACTAAAATGAATTAGAAAACAAAAGGCTGGCATACTGAAAGGGGAATTATGAGGAAATGAGAAAATTCCTAGGGGATATCCCATGGGACATAGAACTCACAACTAAGTCCATACAAGACATGATGGACTATGTCACACAAAAGTATCAGAAGGCAGTAAACAGGTTTATCCCGACCCGAAAGGAAAAATTCGAGAAGCAAAAGAAGAATCCGTAGTTTAATAGGGCATGTATGGAAATAAATAAACTGAACAAAAGGGCGTGAAGGAACTTTCGAAATAACAGAATGCTAGAAAGCAGAGAGAGATATGAGTATGTTAGTGTGAGAAGAGAAGCAGAGAAAAAGTATGAAAATGATATAGCAAATAAAGCCAAGACTGAAACAAAGCTACTCCACAGTCACATCAGGAGTAAAACAACAGTGAAAGAACAGGTGATGAAACTTACAACAGGTGAGGATAGGTATACAGAGAATGACAACGAGGTGTAGGAAGAACTCAACAAGAGGTTCCAGGAGGTCTTCACAACAGAACGAGGTGAGGTCACTGCGCTAGGAGAGGTGGCAGTAAACCAGGCGACCTTGGAAGGGTTCGAAATTACCAGAGATGAGGTAAAGTGACATCTGTTGGATCTGGACGTGAGTAAGGCTGTTAGTCCAGACGGAATCTCACCATGGGTATTGAAAGAGTGTGAAGAGGCCCTTTGTTTGCCACCCTCCATAATGTATAGAAGGTCATTGGAGACGGGAGACCTATCAGAAATATGGAAGATGGCAAATGTGGTCCCAATATACAAAAAGGGTGACAGACAAGAGACACTGAACTACAGGCTAGTGTCCTTGACTTGTATACCATGCAAGGTGATGGAGAAGATCGTGAGGACAAAAAATAATAACACATCTGGAGAGAAGGGACTTCGTGACAAAGCGCCAACATGGGTTCAGGGAAAATAAATCTTGCCTTACAGGCTTAATAGAATTCTACGACTATGTGACAAAGATTAAGCAAGAAAGAGAAGGCTGGGCGGCCTGCATTTTCTTGAACTGTTGGAAAGTCTTTGACACAGTAACCCATAAGAGGTTGGTACATTAGCTGGAGAGACAGGCAGGAGTAACTGGTAAGGTGCTCCAGTGGATAAGGGAGTACCCAAGCAATAGGAAGGAGAGAGTTACAATAAGGGGTGAGACCTCAGATTGGTGTGAAGTCACCAGTGGAGTCCCACAGGGCTCTGTACTCAGACGTATCCTGTTTCTGATATTCGTAAATGATCTCCCAGAGGGTATAGACTCATTCCTCTCAAAGTTTGCTGACGATGCCAAAATTATGAGCAGGATTAAGACAGAGGAAGACTGCTTGAGGCTTCAAGAAAATCTGGACAAGCTGAAGGAATGGTCGAACAAATGGTTGTTAGAGTTTAACCCAAGCAAATGTAATGTAATGAAGATAGGTATAGGGAGCAGGAGGCCAGATACAAGGTATCATCTGGGAGATGAAATACTTCAAGAGTCAGAAAGAGAAAGACCTGGGGTTGGTATCACGCCAGACCTGACCCCTGAAGCTCATATCAAGAGGATAACATCAGCAGCAAACGTCAGGTTGGCTAACATAAGAACGGCCTTTAGAAACTTGTGTAAGGAGTCATTCAGAACTTTGTATACCACATATGTCAGACCAATCCTGGAGTATGCAGCTCCAGCATGGAATCCATATCTAGTCAAGCATAAAACTAAACTGGAAAAGGTTCAAAGGTTTACCACCAGACTAGTACCCGAGCTGAGAGGTATGAGCTACGAGGAGAACCTAAGGGAATTAAACCTTACGTCGCTGGAAGACAGAAGAGTTAAGGGGGACATGATCACCACATACAAGATTCTCAAAGGAATTGATAGGATAGATAAATACAGGCTATTTAACACAAGGGGCACACGCACTAGGGGACACAGGTGGAAACTGAGTACCCAAATGAGCCACAGAAATATTAAAAAGAACTTTTTTAGTGTCAGAGTAGTTGAGAAATGGAATGTTTTAGGAAGTGATGTGGTGGAGGCTGACTCCATACACAGTTTCAAGTGTAGATATGATAGTCAAATAGGCTCAGGAACCTGTACATCAGTTGATTGACGGTTGAGAGGCAGGACCAAAGAGCCAGAGCTCAACCCACGCAAGCGCAACAACTAGGCGAGTACACACACATAAGTACACATAACACACGGGGCGCTGGTGGCTGAGTGGACAGCACGCTGGATACGTAGTCCTGTGGTCCGGTGTTCGATTCCTGGCGCTGGCGGAAACAGATGGGCAGAGTTTCTTTCACTCTGATGCCCTTGTTACCTAGCAGTAAAATAGGTACCTGAGAGTTAAACAGCAGTTACGGGCTGCTTCTTGGGGGGGGGGAGGAATGTTAGTAGTTAGTAACAGCTGATTGATTGACAGTTGAGAGGCGGGCCGAAACAGCCGAGCTCAACCCCCGCAAGCACAACTAGGTAAATACACACACAAGATATGGTACCCTCTCTCCCTCTATCTCTTCTCCCTCACCCCATTTATTTGCCTCTCCCCTCATTTTCCTCACCTCATCCCTCTGCCTCATTTATCTTCCCTCTTCCATCTTTCCCACCTCCCCCTCCCCATTTCCTCCTCTCACCCCTCTTCTTCCCAGTCTATCCTCATTAGCCCTCAAAGTGAAGTAATTACTAGGAGACACCAAAATCATTTTCACACCAACTGGATAGTTATCTACATATTTTTGATGGTCTGAAAGCATATTACGGTTCCAATAATAGTCTACTTGTAAACAGCAAGTGAATCTTTGTCCTAAATAGAGAATAATCTCAAGTTATAACTTTATTGTATTATAAATTGTTGGCTTAAAGTATAACAAGTTTATGCTTAACTCATTTTCTTTGAAATGGTCTGAAGACTTAGGTTTTCTGTAAATGAAATTCTAGAGAAAACTCTAGGGGAAACCGTAAAGCCACCCACCCTCAGTGATAAAGGTATCCCCTCATTATCTTCATTGCCACTATCCTGAGTCCCATGAAAACTCTTGCATGCCCTGATGTAAACTGATGTGGACAAATATTTAGAACGCTTCCATACTGATAGAGCGCCACACTCAGCACACTATCAGGTATCTCAAAGGTCGCGTCCCGCACCACAACATACATGATGTCTTTCCCAGTGTCTCCAATTCTCACATTCACTGCACCGCCACGTAGCTGCCTTTCCTGACCTTCATTCGCCTCCATGAAACATCAGAACGTCGAGGAGTCCCCAAACTTCAAAATCACCCGTCCATCTCTTAACTTCTGTATCCCACAGACGTCCTCTATCTTGATACTTAAGTCAATAATACCAGCCTCGCACAACACAGCATAGGCCACCGGGGGAGCAAACTCCAGACATGCCGACAACGGCCTCTGGCATACATCTTCCATGCGGGCCATCATGCAACTGCTGCAACTGGCGACAAACAGCGGGCCATCATGCAACTGCTGCAGCTGGCAACAAACAGCGGGCCATCATGCAACTGCTGCAGCTGGCAACAAACAGCGGGCCATCATGCAACTGCTGCAGCTGGCAACAAACAGCGGGCCATCATGCAACTGCTGCAGCTGGCAACAAACAGCGGGCCATCATGCAACTGCTGCAGCTGGCAACAAACAGCGGGCCATCATGCAACTGCTGCAGCTGGCAACAAACAGCGGGCCATCATGCATCTGCTGCAACTGGCAACAAACAGCGGGCCATCATGCAACTGCTGCAACTGGCAACAAATAGCGGGCCAATCAGCCACACAGAAAGGAAACCTGCGACTTCTCCAAAGGTCCGGAGCGCCAAGACACCACGGTCTGGCCTCGGCCTGGTCAGCGCTCCAGCACAGCACAGTTAGGCTGTTTATAATAGCACCATATTCACTACTGTATTTATATACTCGTAAGTCATAACCATTGTCCTCAATAGGTCCTTTAATCATAGACGTACATAATATTTTTATTAGTGTAATGCTTTGTGCTGCAGACACTTAGGTATTTAATAAATAATAACACATTTATTGATTAACATACGTTCACGTACAGCGGTTTCTTGATGATAGCGCAGATAATTTAGATATTAAGCAGAGTAAATGAAAGGCGTCCTTATGCATCCCTCGTGATCAAATAGGTGACTAATTTGTCATGTTTATAAACTGTGATCAGTGTTGAAATTAAAATAAAAAACTATTACCTCTTGATATTCTAGTGTGATAAAGGATAATTCACTGCTGTAATAATTAAGCCTAGTGTTTATGCTTATGAACAACAAATTACCACTTGTAACTTGAGGGATTTTACTATTATATTATGTGAAGTATAAACTAATGTAGAAATTTATGGGTTGATGGACAACTCAGTAGCTTATGACATACTCCAAAGAGAATCATTTGGAAACTAGTCATACTAAATTTCAGGGTAAGCACTGTCAACTAAGATCTTGCCGTTGTACGGAATTGTGGACGTCACGATATTGAACTGTTGGTTATCCATCTGTACTGTACAGAGAGAGTCGGGCCGCGCCAGGAAACACACCGTGTACGTCGCCATTTCCATCTCAGGCGACGTTCCTATGAACATTGTTCCGCTGGCCTTGGGTTCAGCGAGCCACTCGAAGTGGTCCAATAAAATGTGACCCTGAGGAAGACAATTTATTTTCCGTAACTGACGAGTCTCGGTCACCTATCTTTATATTTCTGTTGACCTATAAATAACTCAATCTATTGTGTAATATTATATTTATCTATATCATACAATATCAAATTGTCTGACCAAAATATAATCACAATAAATTAATAATTTGCAAGAATACTTTAAAAACAATGTATGTGATGAAAAAGCTCACCTTGGTGCCGAGGTCAATAATCCTTAACCAACCTCCATAGTCAAGATAATTTTTTTGTTCTTCAGTATAAAAACTGACCCAGTTGTTTAAGCCGATGACCTCTCCGGTTCCAAGTTCTCCAACAAACGTATTTTCGAAACCTGAGGATCCCAACTTTCCGCCGGACCTGACGTACAGCGTAAACCAGATCTCGTCCAGCTTGTCCCTCAAGCTGCCGGTCAGGAGGCCTGGAAAATGTGAAGTATACACCTTACTGTCACGGCCCACCAGCTCCTTATTGCTTACTTCTTGTCGGTATTATCGGCCGTAACGAATATTTAGACTTAATTGCCTGAAGAGTTCAGTGGTAATTAATTCAAACACTATAACATGAGCCTTCAAAGTGTTTAAATGGATTTTGGGCGTAGTTACTCTAAACTATCGAGGCTAATAATCTCCAAACAGTAGAAGCTGAGGAAGCAGTAAAACCATCCAACTTGCTCTCATCTAGGCGCAGAAGAAGAAGAATGGGACTCACTAGCCTGTTGGTTCTCCATTATCAAGGACAGAAACTCTGTTAGACTTACTGAGCTCCATTTAAGCCTAGTTTCTAAGCTTCAACCCACAACAGCCGCCAAGCATCATACTGCTAGGTGAACACACGCATTGTGTATAAGGAAACGTGGCCAAACGCCTTACCTTGCCTGGGAATCGAACTCATGTTCAATCGATTGTCAGCCTATTGCGCTACAAGTCACAGAAAGAGCGAGAAAGCAGATTTGAGCTCACCAACTTACCGTTATCGTGTAGGAAAGTCTCGGTGAGCTTCATGACCTGTGTATTCATCATGGCATCCAGGAGGGCGTCCTGCTCGGCGATATCATCGGCGGTGTGGACTTCAGCGACGGTGATTTCTGGGATGTAGTTGTCCTGTACCTGCCTCAGCAGCTTGATGGTAGTGCCGCTCAGAGCAGAGTCCGGCACCACTGCGAACAGTCTGCACAAGAATTACATTTCTTATATTTCCGGATTGAATGTTATTACAGATAAAATTACCAATGTAATGATTTTATTCACTTGCTTGATATGCTGATTATCTCAATAAACTGCATTTTTATATAATTGGAAAATGGTTCTTAATGATTAATGCTTACTGTAAAGCCAAGGTTATTAGCTTTAACTGGTAACACATTGTTTTCAGCATGAACTATCTAGTAAATTATGGTCATTGATGATCATATAACAGCAACATCTAAAACTATTCTGAAAAGCTTCTAATCACACCAATATTAGGAGATAAAGTATTCATCTAACAGTGCTTATCTAACCATGACTACAATGAAGTAAAGTCTAGTACTTTATGTCCCACCTAATGATGTTATACATGTTCCGTTTTTGGGCACTGTCCTTTTATCCAGTCACTCTATAGTCAGACCCCCTCAAAAGTTCTACCATATCATGGTTAGGTGGAAGGGGTGGGAGGGGGGGGAGGGTGATGTACGACTCCCTCCGGTCGGTGGGGGTTGCCTCTGTCCCCCCCCCCCCCTCTCCTGCTCCTATCCAGGTGTTTTTCGTGCGACCTGCTGAAGAGTTTCGCCTTATCGTGACGAGAGGGCCAGTGGGGGGAGGTTCCCTGGCTCCCTTTCCAGCCGTTGTCCATGCGAAATGACACTAACATAGGGATCCTATACGGGTCAAGGGACCACCCGCTGGAGGGGTCGCCCGTGAAGGGCTGCCCTTTGAGATTAGTTGGGTGTCCAGGCTGGGGCGAGAGGTAGAATGGGGTCTTGGCACCAGTCTGAGTAAATGTTCAATACGGTAGAATTCCCCTGTTGAAAAAAGGAGTAGGGTGGGGCACCTCTTGGCAAGGTGCACTCCTTTCTGCTTTGGCCAGTGCTTGGCCTCCATTGCTGCCCTAGTAGGTGGTATCCCTTTGCTCCGGGCCCAAACTTTTCAAAATCTTTTATATGACAAAAGAAAAGACTTTTCAAATTCAGACTCGTTGAGTGGGCTACCAGACCCCCCCGAGTTGAACGGTGACTCGGGGGCCTGAACAGTGATCCCCTGAGTCGGAAGATCGGGTTCCATGGCCACAGCTACATTGGGCCCAGACTAGGCTAGGTCCACACTACCCAAACTGACCCTCTCCGTTCCACTTCCTCGGCAGTGTTGAGCCCCAAGCCCCCAGTGGTGACCATCTTGTCACCTGGAGTGGCTTCATCTTTCGTTGTGACAACAGCGTTTTTTACCTCCCACCTCCATAATGGGGAGATCACGACACTGTCACTGCACCGAACGTGCATGATTCCTTCAAACATTCCAGGATTTGTTTGACCCCGCTATGTGGCCTAAATATGTTGTTATTTGTCACAATGAACATACACGTCCTGATGATTTACACATCCATAAGCATCTAGTTGACTCTAGATTCCCAAGTTACTTTTAACCCCACCTGGACTATCACATGGGTACCTGCGGGCCCCTTCTCAGAATTTAGCTGCCTGCCTAGCTACTTTGTCCTACCTTGGTGAGACCCTGGTTCAGGTCTACAAAAAGGTACAGTTAAATGCCAGCATTGGCAATCATTCTCCCACACTGGAGACAGAGACCTCTAAGTCTGCCATGAGGATATTAAATATATCCTTGATGTTCAAGACTATTCTATCCTCCAGATTGACACGTTCACTCGAACCCCTTATGGTCGTCTTCGTTTGCCTCTTCAAGTAGTTAAGATCACTTTTGATAGTAGGACCCTTCTGTCTCTTGTAATTCTTGCTGATGCCAGATGTTCCATTTAGGAATACATTCTTTCTACACATTTCTGAAATCGGCATTTGAAACTTAGACATGGTTTTACGAAGTGCAGTAACGAAACGTCCCCTTGTCTCGTGTGGTGACCCCCTGGCCATTCTTAGACAGCTTGTTCTTCTATCAAAGCTCGCTGCATCCACTACGGTGAGGCCCACCCTGTATTCACCCGCACATGCATTCACTGTACATTTATTCGAACAAGCCATCGTCAACTTGAAAATCATGATCGTATATCTTTCCACGAGGCATTGCGCCAGATCTGCTGTCTTAACTCTTCTCCGACACGACTTAGGCTCGCATGTTGCACTGTACTACTTTTCCCCTCCTCAGTTTCACAACTGTTTCCAAGCCTTAAACCCCAACCGGACTGAAATTTTCTTAACCCCCTATTGAGAAATTTGCTGCTCTTTCCAAGCTATCCGATCTGCCTCTTCCTCGAGCCTTTCTTATTTTTCACACCTTACTGCACGCTGCCCCACAATGGTTGGTTACCTTTCTTTTTTACCTGGAAAGGGCATATGAAACCACCTGCAGATACAATATCTTATCCCAATATATTCTTTTGTAGTTAGAATTTTTTTCGTGTTAATAGTTGGAAAGCTCTCCCTACAAAGTTTCCTGTCTCATCGTTCCTTTAAAGAGATACCCAATATCACTTTCTCTGATTCTTTTCAACAATATGAAGATGTTCCCAATGTAGTGGGAATTGCTGCCATACTGCTCCCAATCTGAGCAGTATGCTTTTCCTAGTTGCTCTTAAAGGTCTTCCTCCCTCCCTTCCTTCTACATTTTCTCGGCTCTTTTTCTTGACGATCTCACTCTGCTGTCGCTGAGATGACCCCTGTCCTCCAATCCCAGCTCCAATTTGTGATTGCTTTCGTGTCGTCCTGCATCTCCACGTATAAGACCTGTGCTATGACTATAGTCAGCTATGACTATGCTATGACTAGACTGACAGCTAGGAAGCAGGACTGTTACTTCGTCCACTATTGTCGTTCTATGTTATTCCCTTCTGTATTCTGTTAAACGTTTGGGGTTGACCTTTGACTCCCGTTTGTCTTGGTTACCCCTTATCTCTCACCTACGAGTTGAATGCCCTAAGGCTCTTTACTTTGTCTTATCTCATACGTCCTGGGCAGCTAATATACGCACACTCCTCTATTTATAATTCTCGCTCGTGCTGTCTAAACTTGATTATGGCAGCCCTGCCTGCTCCTCTTCGACCCTTCGTCGTCTTGCTGCTCTGTACAACACTGGGTCGCGTCTCGGCGCTGGTGACTTTTATTTGTCTCCCATCCAGAGCTTGTATGTTGAAACTGGCGTCATCTCTCTACAGGATCATCGTGATCATTACTGTATTTCCTGCACCGCATGGTACCTGCAACATCCTCATTCTCGCTTATTTCGTGCTTTGACTGTTACCCCTTATGTGGGCTCTCTTCCCTTTCTCTAAGTTCCTTTTTCTGTACAAGTGATCACCACCTACACAATTCTCAGAGGAATTTACAGGATGAACAAAGACAAACTATTTACCACGGGTGAAACACAAACAAGGGGACACAGGTGGAAGCTTATAACTCATATGAGCCACAAGGACGTTAGAAATAGTGTTTTCAGTGTCAGGGTTCTTAACAAATGGAATGCATTACTCAGTGATGTGATGGAGGCAAACTCCAGTTTCAAATGTAGATATGATAGAGCTTGATAGGCTCAGGAACCTGTACAACAGTTGATTGACGGTTGAGCCAAAGCTCAACCCCTGCAAGCATCAATAGGTGTGTACAGATAGTCGGCAGTATACAGATTGCATATCCTGTTTTAGTGATCTTAATTATTTCATTACAATTCCCTCCAGGTCACAGTCTTTGGGTAGTCAGAACACCATAATTGAATAAACGCTTCCACAACTAAGCATTTATGTTACAGCGTAGATATAAGTTCCAGACTTTAGCGAGCAGTATGTAATGGGTAAGTCCCAGCAACCGTGTTACCACGTTATAATTTTGGTTTGGTGTTTACATGAAGGCTTATCAACCTCTGGAGGGACCCAGCAAGTGTATTTTAGTCCCGAACATTATCCGTACTAAAGTAAGCTTTCAGTGAAGTAGACACCGTGAAGAGGGACATATGTACCGTCCATTAATTAAAAGTTAGCCTCCTATAGATATACTGGCCGAATTCCCAAGAAAGATCGGTCCACCTATCTTTTAAATGAACACCTTTCACATGCTCTGGCGATTTTTTCGCCCATCTACTTAGGGGTGGACGGTATAGCGACAGTCTCGCTTCATGCAGGTCGGCGTTCAATTCCCGACCGTCCAAGTGGTTGGGTATTATTCCTTCCCCCGTCCCATCCCAAATCCTTATCCTGATTCCTTAAAAGTACTAGGGTACTAGGGTAGTACTGTTGGGTTCGTTCTCGACGTACAATCGAGAATTCCGAAGTGGTATTTGTCCCTTCGAATCCCGGGCGGGACAGAAATGGTTGGGCACATTTCCTATCATCTAATGTACCTGTTCACCTAGCAGTGAGTAGGTACTCAGGAGTTAGTCAGCTTGTTGTGGGTTTGTGTCCTGGGCGGGGTCAGTAATTGGGCCTTGGGGGAGGGGGGGACTCGATAAAAACCAAAACGTGTATGAATACACTCTGGCTTCCTGTCCCCCGACACAGTGATTTACAGTATTATTAATTATTAAGTGCTATATAGTCGAAATGGCTTAGCGCTTTCTCCTGATAGTCCCCTTTCCTTTGATGTTTTCTGATTAAACTTCCATATAATAACATGCCACTCTGTTTCCTCCTTATAAATTCCAACTAGTAAATAAGTTTATACATTTATAATAAACGGAATATCTGACTTATGGCAATCCTGACTCACAAATCCATATCCGCAAAGTTGTTGGAGGAATAAATATGTATACAGGTAAATGAATCGTTCCTCGCATTACTATATTGATGGTGAAATTGTAAACAATTCTCATTTGTTGGACCATGTGACTGTAGTATTGTATCCGCACCTACAGTAACATTGAACATTTTAAATATATTCCTAAAACATGTAAAATGAAGATAGACTGAAAGAACTGGAAATTTCCACAGAAGACCGTCGAAAAGGACAATAAATTATATGATTTTCACATATAACCTTTAAAAGTCCATGTAAGGCTAATAGCAAAATGATTGGTCGAACTTTTTGACATCAGAACCGCATAGAATAAGAGGTTATATCTTCCAACACTGTACAAGGTGTATATTAAACACTACTGGGAGCGCTGCGTCACAAAGCCAGCGGTCACTCTGTTACACCAGCACTACCGGTAACTTCTACAATATTTTTGTGACATTAGCCAAGAAGATTAGACCCCACGAGCATGGCTCTACTGCCGAGAAGAGAAACGTGTAATCTGATGAGTTACATAATGTTACTACCACTTACGGTCCAGTTGCAAGGTCGCCAGAGGTACCTTCTCCCTGAAGGTTAATGGTCAGCTGGTCGCCCACAGCGTTCACGTCGGCATCAAACAACTTCTCCGTCAGGACCCACAGTTCTTCGTCGGTCACCCCGGCTGCAGAGCCCCCTGGAAAATGCCCCAACACCATACTTAATTCCCTTCCAAACTTAGTCGCACACATAAATGGAAATATAGACTCTCACAGGATCTGGTTTGAGGAAAATAAGTGACAGCACGCATGTGCCCACCTTTGTAAAATAGAAGGAACAGGTAAAAATATGAACAAAACAACGAATAGATAATAAACAACATACAAAGGATACCAACAACTGGAGATTTAAATTTTGAGGAAATGAACTTGGAGGCAAGAAACCCATGTGGAGGCCTATTTACATGGAGAACAAAAGGTAATAGACACCACGGAAGCAACCTTTCTGAAACATCAAGTCAGACAGGTAATACGAGCAAGAAGGGAAAAAGGAGACCAGACTATCCCTTGCCTTCTCTCAGAATGGGGCAGATATTTAAAGAATAGACCATCATAATTTCCATATATTAATTTGCATGCTAGTAGATCTAAGATTAAAGACTCGATTTCAAGTATCTGGGAATTTTCATTATCTGCCGATGTAGACCTGACCAAATGTAAACTGTGTTAACAAAATTATTCGCACACCCTCCGTCACTATGTGATGGGGTGCGAAAAGATACGCGAATTCAGAGACAATTCTATAACCAATGTTCCAACGATGTGTAAATATTTAATTAAACATTTTCTGCTACCAGAAATCTTGGCCAAATATCCCCAGTTTGGTAACTGTAGGTAGTAACTAAGTGATTGTAACCTATCCACCGCTGCCCACTGGATGGGGGGCGGTGTGCAGGACAAACATATCAATTGTGACACTAGCTCTCCATATGTCAGTTGCTTAATTTAGAACCTGTACTTGTGGTCGGTCTCGAACCCATTGTTGATGTGACGACTTATACTGAATTTTGTAACTAGCTCATCAAGATTGTCACTTGCTCAGCTAAATGAATTGTGGGGTTCAGTCCCTGAGCCCATTATGTGCCTCTGTAACCCTTTCCACTACCGCCCACAAGATGGGTATGGGGTGCATAATAAATGAACTAAACTAATTAAAGACGGTTCTAAAGTAAAAGTCTATATGCACATTTAGCATCTTGATATGCAATTGTTGAGTAGGGTAAATAACTCTTATTGGTAGAGTGAAGGAGACTAACATGTGGTCTATAGTTGTTTAATTTTTATAGGAGTTCTGATTTGTCATTACTATGTAAATATCCTGTATGTGTTTTAAGAAACACACAGATAACAATTAAGAGGGTGGAGGCGGGTGAGTGTAGACAGTTTAGATAACGGTCGTGTCGGGATCAGCATTAACTCAGAAGAGAGGGGCAAAGGAGTGCTATAGATTCTGGCGCTAATGTTGAGTGCAGATTGTTGTAATTACATAAATGACATGTATTGGGATTGTTATGTTGTAGAGTTATTCTTATTCGGGTAGGTGATTGTTTTATTATTAATTAATTAGTGAAGCTCAAATATATTACGCTAAAGAGAGAACCCTGTTTGCATTTGTCAGTTATACAAATGTGGCAACACGTTGAGGACGGAGGGATGCCGCTGGCCTCACTGCCTGGGGCATATATTAGTGGCGTGCACAGCTCTGGATGTTGTTGTTGTTAAAGATTCGCTACCTGGAAGAAAGTTCCAAGTAGCACGGGCTATGGCGAGCCCGTAGTGCCTTGCTCTGGAAGGGGAGGATGTACTTGTGACCTTCAGCCAGTAGAACCTTAAATATTGATCTTTATTTTTTATTGTGAGTAGCTTTCCACTGTAGGAACAGGTGGAGTAGGTTCCTCAATAAATGAATATTCAGTGCTCAAAGTGTGATTACTTATCCGTGTAGTATGACAGATGATTTTCAGTGTCGCCACAGTTTCTTGTATTTTACCAGGCTTAATCATAACTTTTGGCGAGTTGTAACATTTTATGATATTTAATGTGCCTTCCTTCCCGTCTTTCCTGCTGACTGGAGAGGGAATTTCTGACACAGTTTATGATAATTAAATACGATGACATTAGTGCAGTCTTGGTTTTCTTTTTATGAATATTGTTTAGTTGTATAAATGCGGTGTTAATTCCCTTATTTCTTTCAACATGCGTCTAGATAGCAGCGCTTAATATATTTTATTTTATTCATCTGTAGGCTAGATTGGGTGCCGGGCCTGAAAGCAGTTCTAAGCCCAAAAAGAACTTAAGAAGCGTTACAACCACAGCCAGTGATCACTGAGTTCTGGTGTTTGAGAACATAGGTTATATGAAAATCAAGACAAGAGAACATGAAAAAGACAGAAATCCAGCATGCAGAAAATGGAAATATGCCATAATTAAGCGAGACAACTAGAATTATGGAACATATCTGTGCAAGACATGAGGGGCTCTGTGGCCCGCACATGCTCAGAAGCTGAAGATTTTTGTATTTCAGCACTAAGCGACTTGAGAGCAAAGCAAAATGTCTGTCAGTGGTTTAGTAAAGAGTGCCTTAAGGAAAGAAAGTAAGAAAGAAAAGCAAAACGTCTAGGAAGAGGTGCATGGAAAGGAAGCCTGACTAGAACCGAAGATTCTATAACATGGAAATGGACGAATATTTGAGAATCATGAGAGAAACAGAGGAGCAATATGGGGATGATATAACATCAAGAGATAAAGAACTACCGAAACAATAACACATTTTCATCAAGTGGAATGTGTCAGTTAACTCCCATTGAGTTAAATTATACATAAAATGACAAGAACATTTATGAGGTACTGAGGGACTCCTGAAGGAGTTTACCTCCCAGAGTTTAAAGGCAGAACTCTTGAATGAGAAACCAACTAGCATGGCAGTACAGCAGCTTCGCGAGGAAACAGAGTTAAAGCCCTAGTTGTACTGAAAGCTGTATCACCAGAAACGTGTCCCCATGATTTCTAAATAATGCAGATGTAGGTCTGTGCGAACCTCTTTTTCATCAATATAATGGCTTCGCTGGAAAGGGGGGGGGGGAACTAGCAGGCAACTGGAAAACTGCTAATTTCTAAACTAGAGGCCTGTATTGTTGAGATGTATACCCTGTAAAGTTTTAGAGAAATTAATCTGGAGATTAATGGAACACTTGGAGCAGACAATTTATACACGCACAAGTTGATGCACTTTTTTCATTGTTTCCTGATGCTGCAAGATTACTGAAGAGTCATTAGACAGGAAGTTTTTAAACAAGATGAATGACGACTTAGATAAGTTTCAGGTCTGATCACAGAAATGGCTACTAAACCTCAACCCAGTTAAATACAAGGTAATCAGATTTGGCGAGGGATAAAAACACAATATGAACCCAAAGGAAGACTGATCCGTGAAATAGCCCAAGAGAAGGGTTCGAGAGAGATCTTCAAGAGCTCTTCAAGGGCTCTTCAAGAGAAGAGAGTAAACCTGAGAGTTTATATAACCCCAGCCTAGCGCCAGGAGCTCAGGTAAAAATAATACCACCGTCAGCATGTGTGAACCTGACGAAGACGAGAACAACACACACAGTGAAGCCACAATAACATGATCAGGCGCGCGTCTTTGATGACCCAGGATGTTGGTTCGATCCCGCCATCCTGCTCCAAAGAGTTTCTCATAAGAATAACATTTAGGAGGCCTACATAGTATTGTGCACCACATATGTGAGGCCCATGCCTAAGTAAGCTGACCCAGCTTGGAACCCGCCCCCCCCCACCCCACATGCAGAAGCATAAAACCAAACTAGAAAGTACATTAGTATAACAACGAGGCTCGTATCACTGTTATAAGAATTACTGTGCGGGTCGCGCAACGCCCAGTTACATCAAATTTCAGTGAAATGGGAAATATATTAAAAGGTGCGATTTTCCTATGTAAAATATTATTTCTATGTAAATGTCGATGCCGATTTAATCACAATATGGGAAAAAAACTATGATTACCCTTGTTCCAGTGTCCTTTCTGATTAAACAATCATTTATGCTTATATTCGGTACAGTAGATATTTATATTCGGTATATATAGATATATTTATATTCGGTATATTTATATTCGGTATTCCTGAGGTTCCGGGTTCGATCTTCGGTGGAGGCGGAAACAAACTGGGCAGAAATTTTTTTGACGTTAATGCCTCTGTTCACCTAGCACTAAATAGGTGCCTGGGAGTTAGACAGCTGCTAAGGACTGCTTCCTGGCGGGGTGTACCAAAAAAGGAGGCCTGGTCGAGGACCGGGCCGCGGGGGACGCTAAGCCCAGAAATTATCTCAAGATATAGCCTCAGTTGTAGTGAACACGTTTTCATGCCCTTGTAGTGAACACGTTTTCATGCCCTCACCTTGTTACGCCAGGTGTGCCCACCATGCGCCTCCAAGCACTGCCTCCCCAACCACAAACACACCCAAGTATTCAACATGCTCTGGAAGCACTCAAATTTACTTGATATCTTGATAAACAAATACAGTGATTTACTTCAACTGTAATTATCAATTAAACAAATAAAATGTTTCATCGTTATTTATTTCTCGCGAGTCCTTTGTGTTGACATTGTGTTTAGCAAACATTATGACATAAACACTCACCGGCGGCTGCGAGGAGAAGGAGGAGACAGACCTTCATGGTGGCGACCAGTGTGTGTGTGTGGGGACTCTGGCGCCACAGGTATATACCCCATCTTCTTATCTGACCAAAGGTTACAATGCTCCCTTATTCTTGGAAACATAACGTTATCAGGCAGTTATATTTATTTTAGCACCAAGCTTTAAACCTGCTGGTAACAGTTGACATGCATCTTCACCTGGTTTACATGGCTTGTTTACATATGTTCATATACAATATTCACAAATTTTGTTTGTTTTGCACATTGATTGTTTTCGCCAGTGTTTGTTAAAGAGAGCAGAGATATTCACCGCCAGGACGCGACGGTCCTGGCGGTCCTGGAAACGCCGCCTCGTTTCTTCATATTTGCACCAAGACTTCTTATTGTTATCAACAGTGTAACGTTACACAATGGTGCTACACATTAATACTACTACTAACAATACTAATAATATTACAAATAAAAATAATAGTACACCTATCAAATATAAATAATAATTAACAACATTACACATGTACTAAAATTCACTTATATAGATATTATTGGTAATAATTTTCCTTTCCTTCAATATAGCCATTACTCCCTCAGCACTTCAACAAGTTTACCAAGTATACTGTAACTGAGTCACTAAGGAGAATGAATGCTGTAAGGTGTAGCGGAAATTCATATACCAGTAGTTATATTTCTTAGTGGAAATACAGTGAGTTTATTATAAAACAATAATTTTATGTATTCCTGAAGATTACAAAATAGGATTATGCTCTAAGGATTCTGGCAGTCAATACCTGTCAGTATCTTAGCACTTATCGATGAGACAACCTTAAGATAGTTCCTGGCTGTGATCTTCAGGGAGTGAAAATGAGAAATGATTAGGCAACACTGAGGAAATAAAAGTGTGTTTGCGGGGGGGGGGGGGGAGAGCTGCGCATGCATATGTGCGCATGTGTGATATGTGCTAGCGCGCGTGTGTGCACGAGCCTGGTGTGTGTGCGTGAGAGCGCGTGTGTGTGTGTGCACGAGCCTGGTGTGTGTGCTTGAGAACGTGTGTGTGCACGAGCCTGGTGTGTGTGCGTGAGAGCGTGTGTGTGCACGAGCCTGGTGTGTGTGCGTGAGAGCGTGTGTGTGCACGAGCCTGGTGTGTGTGCGTGAGAACGTGTGTGTGCACGAGCCTGGTGTGTGTGCGTGAGAACGTGTGTGTGCACGAGCCTGGTGTGTGTGCGTGAGAGCGTGTGTGTGCACGAGCCTGGTGTGTGTGCGTGAGAGCGTGTGTGTGCACGAGCCTGGTGTGTGTGCGTGAGAGCGTGTGTGTGCACGAGCCTGGTGTGTGTGCGTGAGAGCGTGTGTGTGCACGAGCCTGGTGTGTGTGCGTGAGAGCGTGTGTGTGCACGAGCCTGGTGTGTGTGCGTGAGAGCGTGTGTGCACGAGCCTGGTGTGTGTGCGTGAGAGCGTGTGTGCACGAGCCTGGTGTGTGTGCGTGAGAGCGTGTGTGTGCACGAGCCTGGTGTGTGTGGGCGTGAGAGCGTGTGTGCACGAGCCTGGTGTGTGTGCGTGAGAGCGTGTGTGTGCACGAGCCTGGTGTGTGTGCGTGAGAGCGTGTGTGTGCACGAGCCTGGTGTGTGTGCGTGAGAGCGTGTGTGCACGAGCCTGGTGTGTGTGCGTGAGAGCGTGTGTGCACGAGCGTGGTGTGTGTGCGTGAGAGCGGGTGTGTGCACGAGCCTGGTGTGTGTGCGTGAGAGCGTGTGTACACGAGCCTGGTGTGTGTGCGTGAGAGCGTGTGTGTGCACGAGCCTGGTGTGTGTGCGTGAGAGCGTGTGTGCACGAGCCTGGTGTGTGTGCGTGAGAGCGTGTGTGTGCACGAGCCTGGTGTGTGTGCGTGAGAGCGTGTGTGCACGAGCCTGGTGTGTGTGCGTGAGAGCGTGTGTGTGCACGAGCCTGGTGTGTGTGCGTGAGAGCGTGTGTGCACGAGCCTGGTGTGTGTGCGTGAGAGCGTGTGTGTGCACGAGCCTGGGGTGTGTGCGTGAGAGCGTGTGTGTGCACGAGCCTGGTGTGTGTGCGTGAGAGCGTGTGTGCACGAGCCTGGTGTGTGTGCGTGAGAGCGTGTGTGCACGAGCCTGGTGTGTGTGCGTGAGAGCGTGTGTGTGCACGAGCCTGGTGTGTGTGCGTGAGAGCGTGTGTACACGAGCCTGGTGTGTGTGCGTGAGAGCGTGTGTGTGCACGAGCCTGGTGTGTGTGCGTGAGAGCGTGTGTGCACGAGCCTGGTGTGTGTGAGTGAGAGCGTGTGTGTGCACGAGCCTGGTGTGTGTGCGTGAGAGCGTGTGTGTGCACGAGCCTGGTGTGTGTGCGTGAGAACGTGTGTGTGCACGAGCCTGGTGTGTGTGCGTGAGAGCGTGTGTGTGCACGAGCCTGGTGTGTGTGCGTGAGAGCGTGTGTGTGCACGAGCCTGGTGTGTGTGCGTGAGAGCGTGTGTGTGCAGGTGGTGACCCCATTCTCTGTGAGTACCCCGTGTCTCGACTCATATTGTAGCATACTTTATCGCTGTCCTTATTAATACTGATTACAAGTGCATTTGGAACCAGAAGACGCCGTGCAATACAGTCTGCAAAACATTAACTACACAAGATCAAAGGGATCGCATTCACGACACAATGAAGTCAGCGTGAACGCTCATCACCAGGAACCACTCAACAGCCACCACCCAACACAGAGAACCTCGGGTTATTAGGTTCTAAAACTGGTGATCTTCTATGGTACTTACATGAGATCATTTTACAACCTTGAAAAAATACCAGTCAGCTGGTGTGAAACTACATGTCTCTACCCAGGTCACCTAAATTAATTACCCAAATTGCCCAAATTAATAAATAAACAATAAAAATACTTCCTTTTACAATTTACGTCGTTTTTCACTCGTATGCGCACTCAGGCTAAAAAAGGACGTAATTTAAAATGGAATCGACTTATGAAAGTGACGTACTGTCCCGTTTTCTGTTGTGGGTCTTCTGGCTTAGGCTGTTAGGTTAGGAGAGGAAACTTTCAATTTACGGGTTTCATGATATTTTGAAACGTTAGGAGAATTTCCTGCACTCCTAATCTACCAGAGGACCCTCAGCTTACTGTTTTGGAAAACAAATTCCATTTTTTTTTAATATTTTCATTTTCAAATTATGGCCTTATTTGGCCGTAGCGCATACGAGCGAAAAGCGACGTAATTTGTAAGAAGACGGGTTGCGTAAACAGCTGAGATTGTAAACATAGCTCACGTTTTGCTTGACACACAGCAATAGACAGAGGATACAACCAAGCCGTAGCAGTTTTTGCAGCCTCAAAAACTGAGTGCCAGAAGACAGCATTAAAGTTAGTAGATAGACTAAACGTGTTAGCAGAGATGTGAGAGTGCAATAATACATGTCCCTAGTGTAAGTGTAGAGTCGGACCCAGATCACCTCAATGTATCCAATGTGGGGTTTGGAAATTGATTTTTCACGGTACTTGTCTTAAGATCTCGGCAGCCTTGTGTAAGGCATATAACTACGAGGAAACGGAAGGTAATTAACTTTTACTGCATAACTTGTAATGACAAACACAAGATTCTTAGCAGTAGCACCGAAAATTATGAGGAAGACATTGATGAGAAAAATTACGAAACAGAGGAGAAAAATTATGAAACAGATGAGAAAAATTATGAAACAGATGGGAAAAATTATGAAACAGGAGAAAAATTATGAAACAGAGGAGAAAAATTATGAAACAGAGGAGAAAAATTATGAAACAGATGGGAAAAATTATGAAACAGATGAGAAAAATTATGAAACAGGAGAAAAATTATGAAACAGAGGAGAAAAATTATGAAACAGAGGAGAAAAATTATGAAACAGATGGGAAAAATTATGAAACAGGAGAAAAATTATGAAACAGAGGAGAAAAATTATGAAACAGAGGAGAAAAATTATGAAACAGATGGGAAAAATTATGAAACAGGAGAAAAATTATGAAACAGAGGAGAAAAATTATGAAACAGAGGAGAAAAATTATGAAACAGATGGGAAAAATTATGAAACAGATGGGAAAAATTATGAAACAGATGAGAAAAATTATGAAACAGGAGAAAAATTATGAAACAGAGGAGAAAAATTATGAAACAGATGAGAAAAATTATGAAACAGATGAGAAAAATTATGAAACAGATGAGAAAAATTATGAAACAGATGGGAAAAATTATGAAACAGATGAGAAAAATTATGAAACAGGAGAAAAATTATGAAACAGAGGAGAAAAATTATGAAACAGAGGAGAAAAATTATGAAACAGAGGAGAAAAATTATGAAACTAACGAGGAAGAAATTGATAAAAATAATGATGAAACAGTTGAGGAGACTACTGAAGAAAATGGAGTTGGGAATAATGGAAAATCTTTGCAAGAAATTCAAGAACAAATTACCCTTGCAACCCAAGGCATAATAATGAGGGAACTGTTAGAAGGTCACAGGGAATTGAAAGAGTTGCAGGAGGACCAGAATGTTTTAATGAAACAATTAATGGACCTTAAACAATCACTGGATGATACACGCACAGGCGGGCTCCCAGAGGGGCATGCCAGGAGAACCCGGGGAAAATCAAACTTGGGGGGAACTTAGTGAATTCAGGTGGAGTTCCAGAGACTGATGCGGGTGCCCAGGAGAGGGATGCAGAAACAAGGGATAAGCAAAGATGAAAAAATAACCTCATTATTAGAAACCTTGCGAGAAAAGAAGACAAGAATGACCAAGCACTCATTGAGGAAATGATTGAGAAACTGTTAGGCAGGGTGGAGGAATTGTATTTATCAAAGGTTGAAAGGATAGGTAGGCTTGAAGCAAATATGGTACGAATATCCATTGCAAATTCTGAACACAAAAAGCTGATATTAAGTAGGGTACGTGGACTCAAGGATCTAGCAGGGTATAACCAAGTATACATATCCCAGATCTTACAGTTGAGCAACAAAAAAAATGACATGGTGCTAAGAGGCAAACTAAAGGAATTATAAAACACATACAGTACAAAAATGCAAAGCTAAAGATCAGGAGAGGGCAGGTGATCCGGATAGTAGAAGGAGGAGAGGACATA